GGTGTATTCAGTGAGGTTTCTTCCTTCTGGCTAGAGGAGATTTGAATGAGTTCTGGCTCTGCCTGAGCTCTGGGAATTGCTTGTTTTATAGGTCCTCCTAATTGTTCCTTCTCAGAATGAGCTTTTAAAAGACTGGGTTAGGCTTTTCTTATACATTTACAAATTGGAACTCAGCTAAAGATTTAAGGGAACTCGAATTCATATTTCAGAAAGTCATTCTCTATGTAACTTCCTTCTCTCTGGAAGTCTTCAGAAAATCTGTTCGTCTGGCTTAGGGCACTTTCTGGGTTCCCTTTCCAGGGATGCAGTTTGGAAATTGCATTCAGGCATAAAGTTTGGGGTATGGTAGGACTCATCCATTTGTGTCATTTTTCTCAGATCAAGTCCTATGCAGCTCATTGCCCAATGTCTGAAAATAGGTTCTACAGTTTGTCCAGTTTTTTAGCTGTGTACTAAGAGAATGTATTTCTGGATAGTGTCATCTTTTCTTCAGTGTCTTATTTTTCTTGGCTGTGTTTTCAATGATGTATCTTATTTTTGCTTACTATGTATGAACTATGTTGTATCTGCATATAGTGAAGGGCGCTGGATCATGAATCTACCTTATATTTCATTCTGGACAGTTCAATTTTATCTGTTTGTGATTTACAAACCATTTTTGTTGACATGTAATTTATATAACATAAAATTCATTGTTTTGAAGTGTATAATATAGTAGTTTTTAGTATATTCATAATGTCAGCCAACTATTATCTGATTCTAGAACTTTTCTATCACCCAGAATAAAATACCCCATACCTAATAGTGGTTAATTCCAATTCCCCACTTCCCTCTATCTCCTGTCAACCACTAAATCTACTTTCTATCTCCGTTTGTTAGCCTTTGTAGACATTTCATGTAGATGGAATCATATAGTATGTGGCCTTTGATGTGTTTTTTTTTTTTTTTAAACTTAGCATTTTGTTTTCTAGGTTCATTTATGTTGTAACACATATTAGTAGTTCATTCCTTTTTATGGCTGAAAATATTCCATTGTATAGATGCAGGTTCCCTTGCCATGCTTGCCATGCAGTAGTAGATTGTGCCTGTGAAATCTTTTGTAAGCTGAAATGGCAGAAGCAAAGAAACAGTTACCATTAATTTACATGGATAACTTTTTTGAGCATTCCCAGATCTCTAAAATACATACATAAAACCTAGAATAGCACTAACATATAGTAAAGGCAGGAGTGATATGATAAATACATAGCCTGTATAAAGTAGAAATGTACAGTGTAGTTTAACCTATTAAAAAGATTGCTTTCTCAAGTATAAGATAACAACCTGGCTGGTAGCTCAGTTGGTTGGAACATCCTTCTGATATGCTATGCAAAGGTAGTGGCTTGATCCCTGGTCAGGGCACATACAAGAGTCAGTAAATCAGGACTTCTGGACAAGATGGAGGCGTATGTAAATACACTTTGCCTCCTTGCACAACCAAAAGAAGGACCACAGGAGATTAGAAAACAAAAAATAACCAGAACTGCCGGAATATCGAACTCTAAAGTCCGACAACCAAGGAGTTAAAGAAGAAACATTCACCCAGACCCATAGGAGGGGCAGACACGGGCAGCGGGGGCAGAGAGGACATGGGGCAAGGCGGCGGCTGGAGAACTGGGTGGCCCCCCATTTGCATGTGGATAAATCTGGAGGAACAGCTGGCGAGTGAGACAGACTGTGACAACCCAGGGTTCCAGTGCGGGAAAAGAAAGCCTCAAAACCTCTGGCTGTAAAATCTGCAGGGGGTTGCGACAGCAGGAGAAACTCCCAGCCTCACAGGAGAGTTCATTGGAGGAAACCACAGGATCCTAGAATGTACACAAACCCACCTACCTGGGAATTGGCACCAGAAGGGCCCAATTTGCTTGTGGGCAGCAGGGGAGGTGACTGAAAGCCTGTAGAAAGCTGAGCAAGCAGCATTGTTCCCTCTCGGACTCCTCCCTTCCACAGCATCACAACGCAGACACCTGGGTTGCCCCACCCTGGTGAACACCTAAGGCTCTGCCACTTCCAATGTAATAGGCGGGCTGAGACAAAGAAATATGGCCCAAATGAAAGAACAGATCAACGATCCAAAAATAGAACTAAATGATGAACAGATAGCCAGTCCATCAGATGCATGGTTCAAAACACTGGCAGCCAGGATGCTCACAGAAATGGTTGAGTATGGTTGCAAAGCAGGGGAAAAAGTGAAGGCTATGCAAAGTGAAATAAAGAAAAATATACAGGGAACCAACATTAAAGGGAAGGAAACCGGGACTCAAATCAATGATTTGCAACATTCAACCAGAACGGAATGAAGAAACAAGAATTCACAAAAATGAGGAGAGGCTTAAGAGAGGCTTAGGAACTTTAAATGTTCCAGCATCCTAATCACAGGGGTGCCAGAAGGAGAAAAGGAAGAGCAAGAAATTGAAAACCTATTTGAAAAAATAATGAAGAAGAATTTCCCCAATCTGGAGAAGGAAATAGACTTCCAGGAGATCCAGGAAGCTCAGAGAGTCCCAAAGAAGTTGAACCCAAGGAAGCACACACCAAGGCACATCATAAGTATATTTTCAAAAATTAAAGATAAAGAGAGAATCATAAAAGCAGCAAGAGAAAAGGAGACAGTTCCCTACAAAGGAGTTCCCTTAAGACTATCAGCTGATATCTTAAAAGAAACCTTGCAGGCAAGAGGGGGCTGGAAAGAGGTATTCAGAGTTATGAAAGGCAAGGACCTACATCCAAGGTTATTCTATCCAGCAAAGCTATTATTTAGAGTGGAAGGACAGATAAAGTGCTTCCCAGAGAAGGTCAAGTTAAAGGAGTTCATCATCACCAAGCCCTCATTATATGAAATGTTAAAGGGACTTATTTAAGAAAAAGAAGAAGATCAAAAACTATGGATAGTAAAATGACAACAAACACACAACTATCAACAATTGAACCTAAAAAAAAAACAAAAACAGAAACAAAGCAAACAACTAGAACAGGAACAGAATCACAGAAATGGAGGGGTGGGGGAAGAATGGGGAAAAAGTACAGGGAATGAGAAGCATAAATGGTGGGTACAAAATAGACAGGGGGAGGTTAAGAATAGTATATGAAACGGAGAAGCCAAAGGACTTATATGTACGACCCATGGAAAGGAACTAAGAAGGGGAGGAATGCTGGGGAAGGGGCAGTGCACAAAAGAGGGGAATAAAGGAAAAAAATGGGACTACTATAATAGCATAAACAATAGCAAAAAGTTTTTAAGAAATTAAAAAGTTTATAAAGTAAAAATGTTACAGTTAAGGTTAGTTTATTATTTAAAAGTCTTTTTTATATAAATTTAGGGTAGCCTAAGTGTAGTGTTTATAAAGACTGCAGTCGCATACAGTAATGTCTGAGGCCTTCACATTCACTCATCACGCACTCACTGACTTGCCCAGAGCAACTTCCAGTCTCTCAAGCTCCATTTATGGTAAGGAAATATATATATGTAGCATTTATATTTTTACCATATTTTGCTGTGTATTTTCTATTTTATATATTTTAGGTGCACAAATGCTTACCATTGTGTTACCACTGTTTACAGTATTTGGTACAGTAATAACATGCTGTACGGGCTTATAGCCTAAGAGCAATAGGCTATCACACGTAGACTAGGTGTATAGTAGGCTGTAACCCTTAGGTTTGTGTAGGTTCACTCTTACGATGTTTGCACCACAACAAAATCACCTAAGGGTACATTTCTCAGAATGTATCCCCATTGTTAAGCAAACATGATTGTATAGTCAAATGGAAATTATAGATATTGAAGATCTAACATGTGTTATTAAAGTTTTTTTTAAGAGGGAACTTACCTAGTCTGAGGGTAAAGATGGATCAATGTAGAATGTCTGTGTTTTATTCTAGGATTTTTGTGGAGTCTAACATTTAAGTCTTCAATCCATTTTGAATTTACTTTTGTGTGTGGTATAAGAAATTGGTCTAGTTTCATTTTTCTCCATTTATCTGTCCAATTTTTCCAACACCATTTGTTGAATAAAGTATCTTTAGCCCGTTGTAAAAACAAACAAGCAAAAAAGTGTTTCTCTCTCTGTCTCTCCTGCCCTCCTACCCCGCCCTGCTCTCCTTTTTCTCCCTTCTCCCTCCCCCTCTCCCTCCCTCCCCGCTTCCTCTGTGTAAAATCAATTAAAAAAAATTAGCCCTGGCTGGTGTGACTGGGAGTATCATCCCATGTATTGAGGGGCTGTGAGTTTGATTCCCTGTGAGGGCATATACCTAGGTTGCAGATTTGTCCCTAATTGGGGTGCATGTAGGAGGTAACCTGTCAGTGTTTCTGACATGTCTCTCTGTCTCTGTCCCTCTCTCTCTCTCAAATCAGTCAATGCACCCTTGGGCAAGGATTAAAAGAAAGAATTAAAGAACAGGGGAACAGAGCACCATGCTTTGTATACCCATCAATCCACTCAAGCAGTAGGCTTTCCATTTTATCCATTCCTGGATGCTGACATGAAAGAGACCACTTTAGTACTAGCAAAGCCAGTAGCAACTTTGGCAGCTTTCAAGATTCTTCTCTTTGTGTAAATAGTACAAAATGCTTATATCCCGTTTTATGCCAAGCATAACAGTCTTAGGAGTTTTTAGACGTTTCTGATACCTTAGAACACATCTTGCTAACAGATGCACAAAATAAATCGAGATAAAGCACAGACGTTCACAGACACAGTTGAAAGCTGTGGTGGCTTGATGCTGAGGTGCTGAAGGTAGTTCCCAGGGAAGGAGTTTGGAGGAACCAATCTTGCTGCTTGGCATGCAGCTGCTTCTACAACGTCTCACTGCAAAACCAACACTGAATGCTATTTTCATTTTTTGCCCTTTTTTGTAAAAGTGAAAGTCCTTTTTGGATTTCTTTTGGTTAGTGAAAACAGTTACTAATGTAGCTCTTTTGTAAAGGTGAAGTAGCCTAACTTGAGCTTTTTTTCCCCATGTAAGCAATAGAACGCTTCATGAATTTGCATGTCATCCTTGTGCAGGGGCCATGCTAATCTCATCTGTATTATTCCAGTTTTAGTGTATGTGCTGCCAAAGGGAGCATGCAAGTCAAATTTTTGAAAAGTAGGGGGTTACCTGTATACCACATTTTGTTTGTCCATTCATGAGTCAATGATCCTCAGAGTTCTTTCCCCTATTGTGAATTAATGCTGCTTTGAAAATTTGTGTGCAAATTTTTGTGTAGAGACATACTCTTTTTTTAAAGATTTTATTTATTTATTTTTAGAGAGAGGGGAAGTGGGGGAGAAAGAGGGAGAGAATAATTGATGTGAGAGAGAAACATTGATTGACTGCCTCTCATACTTGCCCCGACCAGAGACCAAACCTGCAGTCCAGGCATATGCCCTGACCAGGACTTGAACCTGTGACCTTTCACATTGCAGGACAGTGACCAACCACCTGAACCACGCCTGTCAGGGCTACATATTCTTTTCATTGCCATGTGTATATATACCTCAGAGTGGGATTCCTGGGTTATTTGGTGATTCCGTATTTATGATTATTAGTATTACATTTCTTTGGAAAGAGGAGCCTTTGCATTTTCAACAAAAAGTCAACAAAAGCAAGTAAAAAAAAACCCATAAAACTGTCTACCCTGGAATGATGGAAAAACTCTCACTCTTAATTAGTATGTTGATTCCCTGGTCTTCAGTTTCTTCATTTGTAAGTGTACGTGGATTTAACTAGATGGATTCTGTGATCCTTCCAGCCTGCTGATTTTGAATTTAGGATTGGCATGCTTTTTAGGATTTCATATTGAACACATGAGTTTGAGAACTTACTACATGAATAATATAAATTGGAAATTATTATAATATGTTGTTAGAAGAATGAATCAAAATTGAACACATTTAATTTGAATTCTTTTGAATGATACATAGTTAAAATGTTGATTGTTTTAGGTTTAATGGAAAGAATTAGATAAGTAAAAGGTTGAAATCATCATTGCTGTTTCTCTCCGTACCTAGTAGCCCATGACGGCCTTCATGTATTTATACTTGGTTTGATATTAAGATGCTTTTCACTTTTTGGTTAATAATTAATTTATGATTATTTTACTACTAGGAATTTGCAGTCCCTGATTATCGTTCTTCTCATCTTGAAGTCAGTCAAGCGTCACAGCTCTTGCAACAACAGCAGCAGCAACAGCTCCGCAGACGACCTTCCTTGCTTTCAGAATTTCACCCAGGTTCTGACAGGTAATGGGGTTTCTTTTATGTTTCTCTGTAGGACTGAACTTATGAAGTGTGTATACCTCACAAGTGCATCATTGTCTTTAATTTTTCAGTTTTATAATTTTATTAACCAAGCTTTGAATGGTCATTGATAGTTTGTATTTTGAGCTCATTTGTATTAATTTATCTTTTGGAGTAGTTAATAATGGTTAACAAATTCTTAAAACTTGTTCCCAGAGTTCAGAGTTAATGGTATGTATTGGGGTGTCCAGTAGACCTACTTTTGAATCCTGGTCAATAGTGTGGCATTGATCATACTATACAGGGCAGGGCAAAAGTAGGCTCACGGTTGTTCATGTGGAGACTAATACAATAATTAATAAATAATAATGCAAGAATAAACTGTGTTGTATACTCACAACTGCAAACCTGCTTTTGCCCCACCCAGTATAAACTGGTGCTCTTAATTTAGTGCCCCCCTCAAAAGACCAGTGACCATTGAACAATGTGGGTTTGAACTCTGCAGGTTCACTTATACACAGATTTTTTTCAGTTGACCCACACAGTTGAAATTCCATTTGTTCAAGGGGCAACTGGCTGTTGGCACTCTGCATATGTGGAGGGTCGACTTGAGTTACAGTGGATTTTCTACTGTGTGCGAGGTTGTCACCTTGATCCCTGCATTGTTCAAAGGTAAACTGTATAATTAAATCAGTCTCTGGTATTGAGCCTAGGCGTTTGTTTATGTCTAAAGTTTCCCAGGTGATTCTCATTTGCATTCAGGATTGCAAATCACTGATTTAGGGTCTTCAAACCTTAGTTTTCTGACCTATAAAAATAAGGATAATAATGGCCTGTCCTCAAAGAACAGTAAATATTTGACCAGATAATATTGATCTTTTACGTATTAGGTACTCATTTTCCCCTGTGCCCTTACTGTCTCTGCTATTTTTGACTCCATTCTCACTCTTGATATAAAGTATTTTGAAATACAATAACTACTTTATTAAATTGCTGTTCTGGTTTTAGAACTTTTATAAGGAACCTGATTTTCTATTTTAAAAATGTTTACTGTTTAGATTTTAAGGTGATAAAAGGTTTGAAATTATTTGGTCATATTTCAAATATATTTCTTGCTGAAGGCAGTAGAGAGAATTCAGATCCCTCTCCCCCCAGGATTTAGCAAATATAAACAAATAGTTTGTTTTAAAAAGGGGGCTAAAAATGCACCCTTTATAAAGAAGGAAAAGCATATAGCCACTGCCATAAACCTGGAAAATTGGAGTTTAAGAAAGGAATTAGAAGAATCTTGGATCACTTGGCTTTTGCACTCAAAGATACAGTGTTGAAGAAAGAAAGAGGTCAGCGAAACCCTAGGATTTCTCATGGATAGTCTTTAATTTGAGAAAATGTAAGGGTGAATGATAGTGGGAGTGAATGCTTTGCTTGGGGATCTCCGTACGCCATCCTGCAGGAAGGGCTGTCGTGGTGTGTTGTTTTCCACATTAATGAGCCACAGCTCTCAGGACTGGTTTACGTGTCTGGCTGATAGAGTGGGCCAGGATTCTTAGCAAAGGCTGTGGCAGCCTGAGCCAATGTTTCCATTACTTTGCCCCATTCCCTGTTCCCTCAGGCTGTAAAAAACGATCTAGAAAGCCATACCCAGTCTTCCGCCTGTAGACAAACACATGCCAGGCAAACTGGGGATGAGCAAGGAAAACCCATGCACACTGTTCCACACCAAAGAGAAAGTCCGGATGGGGCTGCCCATGGGGTATCTGAGCAGGAGGGTCAGGGATGCCGCGAACAGGGCAAACATAGTCCTGGGAAAGAAAATGAATAAGCAGTATCATATGCCCAAGCAGAGACCTCTGTGTGAGAAGATAAAAAACAAAAAACATACCATATGAGTGCTGTGCACTGTAGAAGAACTTACAATTATTAATGAACTATTTTGTTGAATTAAAAACAAAATAGTTAAATTAGGTAAAATGAAGAATTGAACATTCCATTGCTCCCAAGCCCATCAATATAAATTTAACATAAAATGAGAAAAAAGGATTAAAATAGGTGTGGCTAAAAGTCAGATCTTTGTCATGGAAGAAAGTTTTGAGATAATGAGAGTAAATGCAGAAGAAAAGAACAAAGATAAAGCAGTTAGAAACTAGTTGATAAATATGGAGGACAAATTAAAACCATCCAGTGTATCATATGGACATGCATTTCTGAGGTGGAGAGCTTAGTAAAGGAAAGAAAATAATATTCATAATTTTAAAATCCCTTTTTTCCTTTGTAAAGATAAGGAAGTACTCTCTGTAGGTTGATAGGACATAACCATACCTGTCTCCAGGAGAAATTTACACAGAATGATCAGTATCGAGACAGATCCCGCTTAAGTTATTAAAGGTCAAGGATAAGTAAAATAATGAGGGGTCCAGGAAGCAAAATAAATCCTTGACAGGGGGAGAAAATAGCCTGACCTCAAACTTCTGTAGTGACAGAAGATAGTACAGCAGTGGGTACAAAGTTCTCAGAAAAAGAATCTAAGAATAGTATACTAGACATGTTTAAGAACAAAATCAACAGGCACACTTTCTTAGACATGAAAGCACTGAGTATCTGAAACTTCCTAAAGAATTTCTAGTAGGTGATGGAATCTAGCTAAACAAAGAATGGATGCCATAAACCCATTTAAATAAAACATCTGAATGAGACATCCAGATGAATTCTGGTTTCATAACAGAGTGTCAGTAGTAAACCTTGACAAAGTAGAAATAGTATAACTACTTACTCAAAGGTATGATAAGTATTGGGAGAATATTTAAAGGTATGAATATGAAAAGTATGGCTGGAGTGATTTGGTATTTCTAAAACGGAAGTTCAATGCAATTCCACCTTTTTAATGGTTTTTATAATTTTTTTTTCTTTACTCTTCAACAGGAATTTCTTTTAAGAACTACTTTTCTTGTGGTGAAGGGGCATTTATCCAGTATATATCAGCAATTTCTTCCATTTTAAGCTTTATTACATTTTATTTTTTCTCTCATATCTGTATAAAAATAAACCAAATGAACTTTTAAAAAATACTATATTGATTCTTTTGTTGTTTTATCCATCCCTAGGTGTAAAAATAAAGTGATGCCTGGGAATAGTAGTCATGTAATTTTAGCATTGTTTGTATGTGGTGAGATTGAGGGTGATTTTGTGCTTAATTCTGTTTTGTATTCCTAGAATTTTTTTGTTAGTAAATGTTCATAAAAGTCAGTCATTTCTGTGTGAAAATCATCCATCATGTTTTTTAGATTTTACTGGAAAAATTAGCCCATATAACTAGTCAGAGTATTTGGGTATTTAGATAAAAAGATACAGGACAGTTGAAGTAGTTTCATATATTTCAAAAGATTCACTAAAATGGAGACAATTAGTTTCCCCTTAAGCAACAGAAGTCAGAACATAGTTGCAAATTTTTAAATTTAAGTGAAATCAGTTTGTTTCAGAGGACAACCTTCCTTAGCTGGGAATAAATAAAATCAATTAATGTATTTCTTGGTGATCTTGTGGACCATTATTTTGAATAGCTATGGATTTAAAAAAAAATTTAAGTATATTTTATTGATTATGCTATTACAGTTCTTCCATTGTTTTCTCCCCTTTATCTCCCTCTGCCCTCCGCCCTGCCTCATACCAGCATTGCCCACCCCCCTTAGTTCATGTGAATAGCAATGGATTTTATGGCATTTCCATTAAACGATGGTTAGCTTTTCTTTAAAATTAAAATGATAAAATATAGATATATTGCAGTAAAAGAATCCATTTGGTATTTTTAATTTGTTTTAAAGGTATTTAAAGATAGTATTAAGAGGTGAAA